CGGGCATTTTACACAACTTCTTCGACGTCCCAATGACTAAAATGTATTCAATTTATGTCAATCATGTCGAAGACGCTATTAAAATATTCAACAAGTTGTCGACAACAAACAAAAGTGTTAAGGAATTAGTCGAGACATTCGCACAAACAGGGATTTTTGTTCCAACCGTCTTGTTGTTACCAATACAACACCCTTTGAGGTACGTCTTACACTTGGAACAGATCGTAAAGTCGATGCCAAAGTACTTAACCGAGACTAAACAGATCTCGATCGCTCTTGAAAAAATTCGAAAAATCGCACACGACATCGAGAAGAATAAAAAGGTCTCCGACAACAAAAAGGCTCTCGAACTCTGGTCGACCAGATTCGACTTGTCCCCTTTCCCAAATCCAAATCGAGAATATGTCACGGAATTTCCACAGGTCCTTGCCACCGAAAATAAAGACGCAACGGTGTACTCTCTTGTGATATTGTCGGACATAGCATTGTTGGTACGAAACATTGGGAAATCTACAAAGGAAAAATGGAAGGTCAAAGCTTTCTTATTGTCGGATTGGAAGATGAAGGAATTCAAAGACAACAAGATCACCCTCGCAAAGCAAAAATCGGACAAAACCATCATCCTCCGTTGCACCAAAATAAAGGACACAGAACTCTTGGCACAAATCATTAAAAACCCATCAAAATACATCCTCAAGTGTTAATTCATGGACTTTATTGTGTTGATTTGACTAGAATTATTAAATTAAAATTGAGTTATGCTTTGGGTGCTGCAGACTCATCTGGTTTGCTTGTGTACGTCGAGATATTCACAACCAATGTCAACCATGACAGCATGGCGAAGAATAATATGATGGGATACACTGCAAGTGGTCTCCTCTTCAGCTCGATTGCACTTTGCAAAAACCCAAACGACGCCATGCACGACCAGATGCAGCACAAAATCATCACAGGAACACCAACATAAATCGAAAGAACCTTCCAAGAGAGCGTGCAAACGGTCGTCACAATTGCACCCAAAAATATCGGGAACACACAATACCCTACAATGCACACACTTTGAGCGGTCGACAACTTCCCTCCCAAAAACTTTGTGTTGAGTGAGATGAAAAAGGATCCGACCCAAAAAGAGATGAAGACAATCGAAAAGACGTACGACGTGTATGAGTCATCGTCACTTCCTTTGTTTGCAATCATTGAGTTGATCGACAAAAGAAGCGCCAAGAGATAACACACAAACATTGGTCCCCACAAATCCCAGTCTTTGAGAACACGTTCTGTCTTTGTGCAAAAGACAACAACGTGGAACAGCTTGACAAACACTTGTCTCAACTCTCTCCACTATTTTTGAGTATGTAATAAATAATAGTTTATAAACTGTTCATTTGTTAGTAATTGTGATTTAATAAAAATTAAATCTAACAAACGAGTGTGACATAGACTGGCTCGTCAAGCGTTGTTTCAATTCCCTCTGTCGACTCGACTTCCTCAGTCTCTTGAGTTTCGAATTGTGTCCTTGGTGGTAATGGTGGGGCTCCTCCTTCTGCCTGTGTTGGTGGTTGGTAAGTCTGGAAATCTGTCATTGTACTGATTTTTAAGTTTCCCCAAAGACGTTTTTGGTTGTC